TACCCATTTAGGTTCTACAGTTATAGCTCTCCTAACTCACACTCACATGCTCCTCCATGATCAACCACTATGCCACAACAACTGCATTAAAAGGAGCTTTTACACAGTGCTGAAACTAACCCTCCCCCATGCAAGCTTTTATATTGAAAGCTCAGGCTCTTGGGAACGAACTGTAATGACAAAAATATATTATAAGGAGTTGTTAGGCCTTTATCTTCTCTAGAAAAGATCTTGGTATCCTTTTTAGGAAAAAAATAGTGATAATCTCTGATTTTTTCAGGGAAGTGGTGATGTTTAACGGGTCCTACAATTTACAAAATTCTAGGGCACATATAATCTCATTTAAGAAAAGATAGAGGCCAGGCATGGTGGCTCACAAGTGTAATCCCAGAACTTTGGGAGGTCAAATCAGGAGGATCACTTGAACCAAGGAGTTCGAGGCCAGCCTGGGCAAGGTAGTGAGACTCTACCTCTAAAAAACATTTTTTAAAAAATTCGCTAGATGCGGTGGCACATACCTATAGTCCCAACTACTCAGGAGGCTGAGGTGGGAGGATCCCTTGAGCCCAGGAGTTCTATGTGGCAATGAACGATGATCGCACCATTGCATTCCAGCCTGGGGAACAAAGAAAGACCCCCATCTTTAAAAAAGGGAAAAAAATATGTAAATACCTTTAGACTTGTGTGGAATGTTGAATATTTGGTTATGCTTGGAAGACTTCAACCAAATTCTAATATGTGAATGATTTTCTTCACTGTCTCTTAGACAAAGAAGTCTTAGCAAATTCTCTTTTTTTTTTCTTTTTCTTTTTCTTTTTTTTGACAGAGTCTCACTCTGTCACCCAGGCTGGAATACAGTGGCACATTCATGACTCACTGCAGCTTCGACCTACTGGGCTCAGGTGATCCTCCCACCTCAGCCTCCTGAGTAGCTGAAACTAAAGGCACATGCCATCAGGAGCAAATTCTAATACTAATCTGAATTCCTTCTTAGATAACAAAGTACTCTTCATGTAAGTCCCTTGATTAGGTGGTATTATCCTTCCTCAACAACATCACATCAAAGCCAACCTTTAGAAATTTTCCTTTAAAGTCCGGAAGCCAGTTTTCTGGGCCAAGTCTGTCCAGCAAAAGATCAAAATGCCAACAGCAGAATGAATAAATAAATTGTAGTATATTTCAAACAGTGTAATATTATAGAGCAATGAGTGAGCTACAACTATGCAACAATATGAATGAATCTCACCAACAAAATGCTAAGTAAAAGAAACTAAACAAGAAAGTATACATTGTATGATTCTGTTTATGTAAGATTTAAACATAGACAAAGCCAAGGTATGGTACTAGAAGTCAGGAGAGTAGTTACTTTTGTGAAGGAGTAACTAGATGAGAGCACAAATGGGGTTTCTATGAATCTAATACTCTTCTGTTTCTTGAACTACATCCTATTTGTTTTGCAAAATGTCATCAAACTATACACTTGCAATTTGCATAGTTTTTAGTATGTATGTTAAATTCGATAAAATAAATATGCCTCGGCTGGGCGTGGTGGCTCACACCTGTAATCTCAGCACTTTGAGAGGCCAAGGCAGGTGGATTACTTGAGGTCAGGAATTCAAGACCAGCCTGATGAATATAGTAAAACCCTGTCTCTACTAAAAATACAAAAATTACCTGGACATGGTGGCACCCGCCTGTAAGCCCAGATACTCAGGAGGATGAGACAGGAGAATTGCTTGAACTCTGGAGGCAGAGGTTGCAGTAGGTCAAGATGGCGCCACTGCACTCCAGCCTGGGCAACAAGAGTGAAACTCTGTCTCATAAATAAATAAGTCTCAAAAGACTCCTTAAATGAAAGTATGGTTGATCCTTAAGGATATCCAGAAGTTTTCGGGACAAAAAAAAACATTCATAGGTAACTTTCTAACATACTCAGGAAAGAGCAAAATTGTGTATGTCCCCAACAAGATGGCAATTATCTTCTTCTCTGTCTCAATCCCAGTTTTTCCTGTCTAGTTTAACTCTTTATCTTTGAATGAGATACCTCTAAGACCATGTGGGTACTGTTGAATGGCTGGAAACTTTCAGAGATGAGGAGCCTCCATGTTTACCCCAATATTTTTGAGAAAGCTGACTCTCACCAAGTCAGATTTGCTACAGTAATATGTGACTGCGAGCCTACTCAACATCAATGCACTTTCAAGGCCTGAGACTGCGCCTCCAGGAGGAAGTGGTAAAGTCCAATCATGACAAATGAATACTGCCAGGAAGATGCAACCATCTTTCAAATTTTTAAATTTAAGATTAAACTCAATCAGCCAGAATTGCTAAACTCTTGTCCCATCTTTCCGTCTTAAGAAACAGATACTTTTATGCACATGTACCCTAGAACTTAAAGTATAATAATAATTATAAATAAATAAAAAATAAAAAAAAAGAAGCAGATACTTTTGAAAGTCCCATGCCCCAGAGATTCTTTGCCCCTTCTGAATAAGGTGAGCCTACAAGTACATTTAAAGCTATGAGACCTAAACCGGTGGGGGGAAATCAGCTTTTTGTTGCTTTCGAGAAGAAAAAGAAAAGAAAAGAAATGAAATGAATTTGTTTATTTGTTTAGAGAAAGGGTTTTGCTCTGTCACCCAGGCTGGAGAGCAGTGCTGCAATCACAGCTCACTGCAGCATCTAAGTCCTAAGCTCCAGTGACCCTCCTGCCTCATAGCCTCCTAAGTAGCTGGGACTACAGTCACACACCACCACACCTAGCTAATATTTTTCTTTTTCTTTTTGTAGAGACAGGGTCTCGGCATCTCGTACAGGCTGGTCTCTAACTTCTGGGCTCAAGCAATCCTCCCACTTTAGCATCCGAAAGTGCTGGGATTACAGGCGTGGGCTACTATGCCCAGCCAAAATTTATTTTGTTTTTTACTCTTCCTTTTCTATAGAATTCAAAAAAAAATGTTAACCACACAAAAGTTTTTGAACTCCCATTTGGCACTTTAGGAAGTTATTTAATCCTAAGGTAAAAAATATTTAACTGTTCCCTAGATCCACACTTAATGGATGTATGCAACTACTGAATATATTTGCAGCAGCATTTTTCTGTAATAAAGAGTTCAAGGTTGATGGTTTATTATGCCTATTCTTGCCACATTATTATTGTCACAACTATTCACACCCCAAATCTTGTTCAACTTATTTAAAAACCCTTTCTGTCTTTTTTCTATTACTACTCAGTCACCTTTGCAGGCTTTTTTTCAATTATTGGTAAACATTCCTTATTCTCAGCCCAATTAATGGAATTACTATAATATCTAACCATAAATTTTTATTTTTGCTCCATATATTTCTTCCAAAATAAATCGCAACTTGCCTCATCCCTAAGTCAAGCTATACTCTTCACTCTTGGCAGCTGAAAAACTGAGAGGATGTCTCTGATCATCATTCTCAGTGGATCATGACTCTCATCACATAATCCCTATATTTGGGCAATGGACGATTTATTTGAATTTTCTTGAATAATAAAATTATTGTTACAACGGTTCCATCATTCATATATTTTCCTAAGAGACTGCTGGGCCCTTTTTTGCTCATCCAGTAACGAATAATACCCATGAGTGTAGCTACCACCTAAGTAACCCATGCAGTATTTTTTATTTGATTTATTTACTTATTTATTTATTTTTTGAGACACGATCTCACTCTGTCACCCAGGCTGGCATGCAGTGGCAAGATCTCGGCCCATGCAACCTCTGCCTCCTGGATTCAAACAATTCTCCTGCCTCAGCCTCCAGAGTAGCTCGGATTACAGGCGCCTGCCACCACCCCTGGCTAATTTTTGTGTTTTTTCAGTGGAGACAGGATTTCACCATGTTGGCCAGGCTGGTCTCAAACTCCTGACCTCAAGTGATCCGCTTGCCTCAGCCTCCCAAAGTGCTGGGATTACAGGTGTGAGCCACCTGCCTAGACTCATGCAGTATTTTATAAACCCATAAAAAATAAAAGGAATCTTTCAGGATGGCATATATGTTTCCAAAGTCAATGGATTAATCCAGAATGATCATCAGAAGTAGAATTTAGCTTAGGAATCAGGTCTTGAAATTCTTACCACTAGGAACATTTATCATTCTTTTTTCTTCCATTCTTAATCTCCCTACTACTGTGATCATTTCCTCCCCCACAACTTATAAGTTTCTAAGCCCTTTGTTTGAAGATCTTACCATGTTTTTTGCTTTTCTTCACCCATCTTAAGACTCAAAATCTGCAAGTAGGGCTCACCAAACTTTCTAGTCATATCCAAGAGGAGAAATTTTGTCAAACTTGATGCATTCTGATCTCAGCTCTGTATTATACCACTCATTTTGTTTATTTGTAGTTTCTAACTTCTATTAGCTCCTTCATGCCACAATCTAATGCCCTATACTTTCCAGTTACTTCCCGCAATTGGCATGAAAATCTCTCTTTTCCTCACAGATAATGGACTGTAATGAACATAGTGAACAGTTTAAAACCATTTTAAGGGCCAGCCATGGTGACTCACGCCTGTAATCCCAGCACGTTAGTAAGCCGAGGTGGGTTGGTCACTTGAGGTCAGGAGTTCGAGACCAGCTTAGCCAATATGGTGAAACCCCGTCTCTAGTAAAAATAGAAAAATCATCCAGGCATGGTGGTGGCACCTGTAGTCCCAAGATACTCAGGAGGCTGAGGCACAAGAATCCCTGGAACCAGGGAGGTGGAGGTTGCAGTGAGCTGAGATCACGGGCTGCACTCCAGCCTGGGAGACAGAAAAAAAAAAAAAAAAAATTTAAAATGGGGGAAATTATGGCACAGAAAATTATATTGCTTTCATACTATTCTATAGTCTATGCAATAGTTTATATAATTGTTAGAAGTAAACTACAGGCTTCCTAATTTCCAATACCTGTTTTTGGAAAAGAATTTAAGTTATTGTTTTGCCATTGTATTTAGTTTTGAGATTATCCTCCATTAATAGCGATACTGTCATGCTCACTTTGGCGGCACAAATACTAAAATTGGAATGATACAGAGATTAGCATGGCCCTTGTGCGAGGATGACACACAAATAATGATATTGTCCTCCCATTAATGGTAGTAATATAAAGTAACCCTTTAAAGTAATATATTTAAGCTAGGATGTCAATAATTTAAAGAAAATTTAAGTAAATACAAGTAAGGGTGATAGGATATGGCAAAAATTTGATGATCAAATTATTAAGTCTGGGAAGCATCACTAATTGGGAAACACTGTAAAGTCTGGTGTAAAATGATGGCAGAGGAATTGAGATTCAAGAATGCCTTATCCTAGTCTCTGGGTGATACTTAATGGTACATCCTTTGCCACTTCATGACACAGGAGGTCCTAACGGCAAGAGCCAAAGCCAGATTTCCTGCTCTGCTTTAATCCAGCCTATAGCTGGTATCACTGCCTTCTCTACTGGCTAGCAATCGAGGAAAGACTCCTATCACAGGCCTGGAACGGCCAGGAAATATGTGGACAGAAGCAAATCTGAGTAACAGTGTTCACAGCCTGTAAAAAACCATAACACTAGCTCAAATAAAGAAACAGACAAGCTTGCCAGGATCGAGGAGAATAGTAATTTCTGCTCTTGGCAAAGCCATAAGAGGAAAGGTCCAGTTGATGGGTTGGGAACGAGGGGTGGGGTCTTTTACAAAGATCTGGTCTTAAAGCCTTAACAACAGGGATGAATTTAGAGGAGAAAGCTCATGCTTTTAAGAATTTTTTTTTTTTTTTGAGACAGACTCTCACTCTGTTGCCCAGGCGCAAGTGCTGTGCAGTGGCACCATCTTGGCTTACTGCAACCTCGACTTCCCAGGTTCAAGCGATCCTCCCGTCTCAGTCTCCCAAGTAGCTGGTACTGTAGGCACATGACCACACTTAGCTAACTTTTGTATTTTTAATAGAGATGGGGTCTCTCTATGCTGTCAAGCCTGGTCTCAAACTCCTGAGCTCAACGGCTTCAGCCTCCCAAAGTACTGGGATAGCAGGCGTGAGCCACCACACCCGACAGATGCTTTTAAGAATAAATTAGAGGGCCAAAAATTAAGACAACATGTATTAACCTTGGGAAAAAAACCTTATAACTTTTATAAGCTTTAATTTCTGCATCTGAAAATGAGGAAGACAGTAATAACTGACCTGCCTCAGACCGGCTAATGTGTGTATTGCATGATACAATGCATATAAAATACCAAGTCATGCTAAATGCTTAGTAAATGTGGCTTCCCTATAAAGCCAAAAGACTTCAAGTCAATCTCTGGACCTTACTGGTTAAGTAACTATAGGTCAGTCTACTTATTTATGGCTCACAATTTTCCAAAATGTACATGAGGTAGATTATAAAAATTCCAAAAAATAAAATAGTATGCACAAAACTTCAAAATCAGGGAAAATATAAATTGGAATAGAAAATTAAGACTAGGAGAGAAAATATAACGTAGATATTCAGACCAATAAGTCTTACAACAGTACTAATGTGTACTATAATCCAAAATTAGTTCTGGGGTTCCTGTCAGTCCAAAAGAAATTTGAAAAATGTTCAGTTACAAAATATTCATTCTTTATCCATGAGGAGAAAAAGAACACCCAATGCTGGTGGTAAAACTATGTTGTTTCAGGGTATATCACTTCAATTATCCAATCTTTAAAACAACAAAATATTATCTACCTTTCAGGGTAGAGGTAGAGAATTAAATGAATAACATATGTGAAAAAGTATTTCATAAAATTGATGTACTGTATAAATGTTACTTATTATTTTATATATCTTAATTTACCCAATAGAGCAGGCTTATCATATGTTTGGACCTTCATTTAAATTACTGAGCTAAAAAGAAACCTTTGTACACTGTTGGTAGGAATGTAAACTAGTACAGTCATTATGGAGAACAGTTTGGAGGTTTCTCAAAAAACTAAAAATAGAGCTACCATATGATCCAACAATTCCATTGCTGGGTATATACCCAAAAGAAAGGAAATCAGTCTATCAGAGAGATACCTGGACTCCCATGTTTGTTGCAGCACTGTTCAGAATAGCCAAGATTTGGAAGCAACCTAAGTGTCCAGCAACAGATGAATGGATAAAGAAAATGTGGTACATATACAGAACGGAGTATTACTCAGCCATAAAAAGCCTGAGATCCCGTCATTTGCAATAACATGGATGGAATTGGAGGTCATTATGTTAAATGAAATAAGCCAGGGACAGAAAGACAAACATTGCATGTTTTCATTTATTTGTGGGATCTAAAAATCAAAACAATGGAACTCATGGAGATAGAGAATACAAGGATAGTTACCAGAGGCTGGGAAGGATAGTGGAGGTTGGGGACAGGTGAGGATGGTTAATGGGTACAAAAGAGATATATAAAAATGGATAAGACCTAGTATTTGATAGCACAACAGGGTGACTATAATCAATAATAATTTAATTATACATTTTAAAATAACTAGAATGGTATAATTGGATTGTTTGTAACACAAAGGATAAGTGCTTGAGGGGATGGATATCCCATTTTCCATGATGTGATAATTATGCATTGCATGCTTGTATCAAAACATCTGAGGTACCCCATAAATCTACACACCTACTATGTATCCACAAACATTAAAAAGTAAAAAACCAAATAAGTAAATAAAATAAATTACTGAGCTAAATCATTTTTACTATAGGAATACTCAGTATTCCCAGGCACTGTTCTAATAATTTACATGTATTCAATTACTACCCACAATAATAGTAGGTACTATAATTACTTTCATTCCGATGAAGAAATCTGGGTACAAAGGTCTTAAGTAACATTCCCAAGTTTACTCAGCTAGTAGGTGATGGTGCTAAGATTGATATCCAGGAAATCTGGCCCCCGAGACCATCCTGGTATACAAATACAAAAAGGTATAAATGACATATGCTTACAGCCCTCTGTAACTATAAAAGCTTCCAACCTATAAATTAAACATAAGCCTAACAAGAAAACTAATAAGTGAAAGGTATTAATTTTACGTGACATGCCATATTGTTTTCTCATCACCAGTTGTAGCATGAATTTGATAGCATTATGGTCAGGTTATTAACAGGTCCTGTGAGATGACAATTTCCCATCACTTTTTTTCATTCAGATTACTGGAAACCATTTGTTTGTACAGCTTGTTGTGATATGTGGCCTTCCCTTGGTATAAATGTATCATTTACATATTAAGTCAGCTTTCGTTCTTTTCTCATTAGCTCTCTGATTAAAATAGAATTGCTCGCTTCTAACTCAATTACAAACACAAACACAAGACTAAAATTGCAGGATAACACTTGGCTACAGAGAGGTTATCTAGATGATCCAGGGGCTGCTTATATTGTTTTTTAAGTTACATTGAAATGAAAATGTAAAATTCTCATAGAGAAGGCCAAGTTCAGTAGCTCATGCCTGTAATCCCAGCACTTTGGAAGGCCGAGGCAGGAGGATTTCTTGAAGCCGGGAGTTTAAGACCAGTCTGGGCAACATAGGGAAACCCCATCTCTACAAAAATGTAATAAACTTAGGTTGGTGTGCTGAGTAGTCCCAGCTACTCAGAAGGCTGAGGTGGGAGGATCACTTGAGCCCAGAAGTTTGAAACTGCAGCAAGCTGTAATTGTGCCACTGTACTCCAGCCTGGGCAATAAAGCAAGACCCAGTCAAAAAAGAAAAAAAAAAAAAAAAAAAAAAAAAACACCCACAGAGAGTTCATAAACATCAGTGTCTCTAGTTTGAGAACTCCCACCACAGAGTACTCTCAAGAAGGCAGGCAACCCGACTGCATCTCTGTAATTTGATGGGCAACCCGATTCCAGACTCTGCCGAAGAAGAACCACTGGAGTATCCCCTCCTTCTAGGAAGAGCAAAAAGTCTGTAAGCACCACCTGTATTCTCCTGAGGTTCCATCCTTTCCTACCATGTACCTAGGACTCTTCCAGGCATCCTGAAGTAGGGAGTTCAGCTGGTTTGTGTCCTATTTTGATACTGATTACTGGGGAGAGGAACGGTAAGGAGAGATTTGGCGACAGTAAATTTGTTCTGATGGTACCGAGTTCCCTATGCTGGCTTGGGAAACCTCAGAAGGGTAGAAGGCTTTTTTGTAAGGGTTCTTTTGCCAACAGCAAATTCCCAGCATCATGTTTGGCTCAGAGTCCCAAACCCTAAAGGGTTGTAGCTCTGAACAAACAGCTCAGCCCCTACATGGACTTCCCAGGGTGAAAGCTGGTCCAGAAGCACTGCTTCAGGATTGGTTCAAACAGGAAAAGAATTCGGCCTGTCTCCTTGTAAATACCCCCTCAAATTATGGTTTGCAAATTGAGGTTTGATGCATTGGTTTTCCAAATACGTACAACAGACACAGCAAAATTGAGTTGACAGGGCACACAGTTTAAGATATCTGTTAGTGAAAATTACATTTTAAGACTTCCGTGATGACACTGAATATATTGCAACTGAGAGGCCAAGACAGAGTCCAGCATGTCAGCTTCTGGCTTAAAATTTCCTCAAAATAAAGCACCCTTAACACATATCTTTATGAACAGTGCTGAGAGTGAAGGCTGGACCCTAAAATAGAGTGACGCTAACTCGCTCTCAGGATGTCGGAAAACTGATCATGGTCTCATGGACATTTTACACCAACTCCTGGATAAGTAATCTCTTTAGGAAACTCCTAGTGAAGATAAATAGTGTTCAACTAGAATTTCCTTTTGCTAGTGAGAAGCAATGAGGCCAATGATGGCAAGTCAAAAATCAAGGGTGGTCAGGTCAAGAGGTGATCATGCACATGGTGAAGGTAGCAAACAGATGGCTGCCCCGGGGGCGATAGGGTTTTTTTCTTTTTTTAAGTGTATCTAAAGTGATCATATTTCCTGATTTTCCCTGTATTTAAAGCAATCATATGTATGACAAGTGAGCATGTTTTCCTGATTTTCCAACCTGTTATCTCAGTACAATTATTATTGATTTATTTTCTTGAGACAGAGTCTCATTATTGTCGCCCAGGCTGGAGTGCAATGGTGTGATCTCAGCTCACTGCAACCTCTGCCTCCCAGGTTCAAGTGAT